ATGAAATAAGTAAAAGAAAAAACCCTAGCTAGGATCTTGAGAACGTTATAACTACATTTAATGGCAGTCACTATTTTTCAAAAAAAAAAAAAAAATTAAGCGTGCATTGATAAAGAATTAGGTCTAAGGTAAGTGTCATCGCTATATGTTACCTTTAAGTATTTCGTGAGAAATAAAAAGTTCTCTATCTCTTCCATATTAGAACACACCCGAACGTCTCCTTTTTTTCTTTTTTTCTTTTGTTTAGAATGTAGAATATTCTCTTGTATCTTTTTTTTTTTAGCTTGTTTATTTTGCATAGGCTTTACGCCTCCTTTATTTTATAAGACCGCTTGTTTACATACAGCTGTCCTCTCACACACACACACACACACACACACACACACACACACACACACACACACATACACAAATACACACACACACACACATACACACACATACACACATATACATATACACATAATTTTATAACAGTTGTTTTACTTTTCTTATTTCCATTACGTGTTTTTCCTGTTTTTTTTCTTTGGTAAATGAGTGAAAAAGTAAGGTGAAAATCAAATGTAAAAGAAAAGGAGACATCCTTAAAAATGGCAGCTGATGATAAACAAAGGGCTTTTATCAAAAGTTGCTAGCCTACCAATATTGTGAAACACACGTAGTAGTTGTTAATTGGCAATCAAAATGATCTAGGCAATAAATGAGATGAACTATGATTTAGCTATTTCTTTAAGCACTATGGATTATGACTACTTTTATCTTCTTTTATTCCAATATTAAAGAATGATTTATGCATCATCCTTTGTTTGTTTATCATAGTACCTTTTTAGCCTCTGATATTAAATGGCGTGCTTAAGAAAGAGGAAGAGCTCATTCTGTTATAGTTACGTATGCTTAATTTATCATAGATCAATACTATTTTTTAAAGAAATAGGTAGCTCTCATGAAAATAATCATTGCTTTTGATGGTGTATCATCTGGTCTTTTCCTGGCACTTCCAAGTATGTATCAAACCTGCTTATCAAACACGGAGCGTAATTAAATTGCTGGCTTAGGAAAGCATAGAGTTTGTTATGTTTATATTTTTTTTTTTTTGTGAACACGAAAAGATAAAAGTTTCATGCTCAGCCTTTTCCCTTTTGACTGTGAAACGCAGGTAAACATTAGCAACTCTTGTGATTGCAATAGATTTAATAATTAAACATTCATTTTTATAATAAAGCAAAGACTAAAAAAAAGAAAAAAAAAGTGAAGTCTGCATAAACTATTTCAAATGGCGCTCGAAACAGAATGGTTGCTAGGTACGCAGCTAACTTTATGTAACGCCCTTAATAGCATGGATACACGCATATCTTGAATGAGAAGCATGGTCAAATATGTGATTACTGGCGACAAGAGAGGGCTTGTTAATAAAAAAGAACATGAGTGTATGAATGTCAATAGGATCAAAAGAAACCTTATATGGAAATAAAAGAGCAATAATAAACAAGGTAAATTGGTAATGAATAATGCTCAATAACCCTTAGAGTATAATTCACTACTTACCAATGCCATGAATCACTATGACGCTTCATTTGATCTCATTATTATAAAGTACAACCAAATCAGCTTGCTTACTTCATTTAGAGACCCATTCGCAAAATATAAATGTGATCTGCAAAATAAAAAAAAAAATCCTTAAAGCTAAAAGCAGAATCCAATAGAGCTCGATAGCAAAATTTGAATCATCCAGATTGATCTAAGGGTAATAAGAATACTTTTAATTGTTAATATAACATACAGTTATTAGTATTCAACCGAAAGGATGCAGAAAATAATTAAAATCCAAGGGTTACATCACTATTTTGAGCTATGGCAGCCACCCCATACCCCTTTACACGATACAAAAATGCTCCATATTATGTATACTTTGGCCATTTTCTCTCTTTCTTACCATTGCTACTTTTTCATTTTAATATGTCTACATCTAAAGATAATTCACATAAACTTCCTTCCAACTTGAATCTACACGCATATTCTTTTTTTGATCAGCACACATTAGAAAATTGGACTTTAGAAAACTACTATCACTTCTACAAACGAAAGATAAGCCCCAGCAGAAACTACAACACAATTCTAAGATATTACTCTCAGGACATAGAAATTATCAGGACAAATAAGAACGTAGATGAAGGTGTCAGAAGAGCAACAACTGCACTTAAGAACTCAGTTGTATGATCTTATTCTCCCTAACTGTTCTTTCTTATTCTGACTAACGTTATCATTACAAATAGAATGAGTTCAAAAAAGGCAAAAGCAAAGCTCAAACAGTCAACAACAACGTCGATACTAACTATGGCATTGTGGTTGGTGTGATGAATGATCCTCTGAGCTCTGGAGACAGCAAGCTACCTGATGTGCGACAGGTGAAGAAGATGATAGTATTTTTTTTTAGATACTAAAGAACAACTTAAACTAATGAATGTCAATAGACGAACCATTTAGAAGAGACAGTTCAATGGCAAATCGAAGATGAGGAGGACATCTGGGACGCTTGGCGTCAGTTTCTTCAGACATGTAATTGTTATGGCTTTTGGTAAGCTTACTAGTATCAAGCACTATACAGATGCAACCCTTTTAATACAAATACAACTCTTATTTTAGCCTTGAGAAGTATCACATCATCGAGTGTGGATATTCTATCAAGTGCAGCCCTTCTTGGTCAGATCAACTACTTGACCATCTCGGTGTCGACGATCACTCCGTCGAAAGCGCTTTCAAGAGATGTAGCAAGTATGCAATAGCAGCTCTACTTATCACAAAGGACATAATAATGGTATGCGTACTATCAATCGATTGTCATGTTGCTAAACATCTCTTTGTAATTTTTAAGACCAACTACCAAGAGAAAAGGAAGGCGTTGATGAACCTTCAGAAAAATGAAGATGAGGATAGAGAAGCCGCTTCGTTTGTAGAGGAATTTCTTTTACTTATGTATGACATGCAAATATGTAATTTTTACCTTGTATTTTGACCTTTTTAATATATGCTCAGTGTCAACCTTTGCAGGCATGAGGATATTCACAAGCCTCTTTCTCAGAGTGAGCCCTCATTCAACTTTAGAATGGTCTGGCCTCTTATGTCCCTTGCCTGTGAGGCTTCCTCTAGCTGTCTAACTTTTTTGCCTGGGGAATACATCTTGAAGGCATCGAAGCAAGATTATAAGGCAGATGCCTGTATTGTAGATGCAGAGCAAAATGAGCTCTGTATTTTGGAGACTTCTGATCCCTTAAAGCTCGATGACAAATGCGAATACGGGTACGATTATGTTAAGGGTGCCTTTGGGTCATTGACATTGTTCAATGACCTTTTCAAGAAGTACTATATGGCATCGAAAGACACTGCTCAGAGACTAAACGTCATGTTTGTTCATGCCAGGCGTAAATGACGAGCTATACTCAAACAAACATTTACTTACTTGTTACCTAATGTAGACGAGGTTTTGCATCTGTGGTCTTTGGAGCTTTGTTCTCAGAAGCTGTACGCTCTCAAGAAGGTATATAAGGCCGAAATCCTGACCACCACCAGCACACCACCAGCAAGATTCTTGCCTTGGGCAACTTCGCTTGGTGCTTGAGGGTAAGTTGAAGAAGCGGTAATTCTATTATAATCAACTAACGCTTCAGCTGCATGTAGAGGAGCCTGGAGCGCTCTGCTGAAATAGTGAGGAGCATGAAAGAGGAGCATGATCACAATCAATTAAAGAAGATGATGGGTCAAGATGTTGATAGCAATCTCGCTCTGATGGTGGATATAGATATCCAAAAGCCTTTAAAAGGCGCTGGATATGGTATCTTGCTCCCAGACGAAAAGGACGAAGATAAAACTAGTGTACAATATGTTTCGTAATAAATTATAATGTTGACTATGCATAAATGAAATACATGAATTAGGCAGCATAGAGAATTTATGAGAAGGATATTCTTGCAGTTTAGCCAAATTGACTGTGTTTTTTATAAGGAAAAGACCAGCAAGAGGAAGTTGCTCAGTTTGCATATAAAGACTATTACTTTTGCTTAATAGAAGGAGTGCATAGCCAGCTTACGGCCTTTGGTATTCAACTGATTACACGCTCTTCTTGTGTTAGGGCAAGTAGTAAGTTAGTTTCTAGAGATTATGTTCTTGTGCTTTACAAGATTGTATTTATTGAGAGAAGAAAGAACGAACAGACGGAAAAAAAAAATACTTTCAAGCGAGATAGAATGTCTGAGGATAAGTTTTATCGTTCAAGACAAAGCATTCAATACTCTATAGCCGCCATAGAGTCATCTATTCAAAGGCCAGATTAGCTACTTTGTAAGGAAAGCAATACCTTTAGAGAGTACCTGTATCTACAGGAGATGCTGTGTTCTTTTTTGCATGTAGATCACCCTCCCAGTACAGCACAGTTTTTCGTTTCCTTTAGATTAGAAGAAAAAAAAGAGGTAGGTGGCAATACCAACCGTAAGGACTACCAAGCCGATGGCAACAACATAAATGTCACCACGCATCAGGAGGCGTTTGTCAAAGCAAGGATAGCCTTCTAGTCTCGTTACAGTTGCTTGGACCTCGCAAGCCTCTGCCTTTCTACGTCCTTCAGCAGAGGGAGCAAGTTTGTCGTCTTTTTATCGAGCTAGTCTCATCTCCCAACGGCGCCAAGTAAAGAAAAAAAAAAAAAAAAAAGACAGCCCACGTCATATTTTAAAAAGTAGTGGGAAAGCAGTCATACACTGATTAGCTCGGAGCAACTAAAAGCAATGGAATACAACCAAAGTCAGCCATGTATGTTCATTTGCACTACATAACTGCAAGAAATCATGCTCCAGCCATTTTGTTTCCAATTACACAGTTGCCATCGTGTAAGGTGAAGATGAAATGGTAACACTCTTTCATGCTGCGCTTTATTTTCATATATACAATATAATAAAAAAAATTTTCAGTTACTCTTTTGTATAATTAAAGGAATGTGGGGATAGACTAAAAGACTTTATTGTGCATAAAAGATTAGAAGCTATTTATAATAGCTGAGGAATGTATTAGTATATAAAAGTGAAGAAGCGTAGTTACGACCGAAAGTATTGAGTGTACAATTAAACAATTATTTATTAAACCCAAGTGGGCATGTAGTATTTTTATACTAATTTTGTCCGGGCCAGTTTAAAGAGCTAAAGGGTATCCAAAAAACCCCTCTGGACTTGAGAGTAAAAATTTTGTGACTTGAAGAAAGGGACAGAGAAGTGGATCTCAGGAATGGAGGCTACTGAGAAAACAGTAAATGGAGCTCAGGGAATTCGTTACGATCAATGTATCCTTTGTTAGTAAAGAAATTGGTTACAGTCTGCTTGACAGGACCTTTAAGGTAGTCGAGAGCATAAAGGATACGACAGATAAACAGGTCACGCGCGGCACGCATCCTGTTCGCTTCGTCCCAGTCATCGTAATCGGGATTACGAAGATTCGAGGGATCTAGAGAATCGTAATCACCCTGTACAGGAAACTCAAAGCTCTTTAAGTGTTAATGGAGCTCAACTTCATAATTATTATGAATTAGGAGGGCAACAAGGTGACGATCGGGATAATGGATGTTGAGGATACAGCGGGCGTTGATGCTCAGTTGTCGCAGGCGAGAGCGTAGTTAACCTATAGGAAGGCAGCAGTGTAGAGGCAGGTATAGGGACTTGTAGCCATGATTGACGGGACGGACACTAAAGGTGCGAGCAGCAGCCATTTGACTAAGAAGGGGTATTGGGTGTACAGTATTTCCAGAAAGTAATGTCGCAAAAATTCAATTTTTACAATACAAAATATACAAAAATGCAACATCTTGGTGCGACATTGGTTTTTAAAACACGGTATTATTGTATTTGAAGGCGAAATATATTTTTGTCATGAATCTCTTTCTTTTCTTTATTAATAAATGACTACAAAATCACATACTCCATTTTGTTGTATTCTTATGTTTCCGAAGTAAAAATATTTGGTCGACAATACCACACTAAGTTAACTTCTTTAAGAAAAAGAAAGATATCAGAAGGGGATATAATGATGAATGTATGGTATATCGTGGACAGATTAATGAATGTCAATGAATTACAATGTAGCAGGTCACAAAAAATAGGAAGTTCATTTTGGTCAAAATTAACAATTTTAAAAACAATAGAGGAGAACCGTTTTCGGCAGCTTCAGCTATAAGAAGAAGCAATGACCACTCGATATTTGACCTGAGTAGAAAGAAAGCAGGATGACGTAGGGGTTGATTGTCACTAGATCCTAGTAACTTAGAGATCGCCTGTACCGAAGGAGAGACAGATGCAGAAATCGTTGATAACCTTGTTATCATATAGTTCTCTCTCAACAGTCCAAAAAATGAAGTGGTTGGATTTGTTTTTTCTTGTAAGTGCTACGGAAAAATTTTTACAGGATAAATTGGGTTCCAAGTGTCGCTGTTGACCATAGATTCGCCAAATAGCTACATATGCCGATTAAGAAACACGAAAGCAACCGAGTTCGCCAGTGACGAAGCATTGCTTGGAGAAGGATACTCTAAATTATTTAAATTAATTTGGAGAGCAAAGGCAAAGTGTTTGGCAATCATATTTTATTTCAAAATATTGATAATTAAAACAAAATATGTAGGAGATAATAAATTGATTAGCATGTCTAGAAGGTTAATCGACGCTGGATATGAGAGTAGTGACCAGTGGCGTTGAAGAGATTCACTTTCCTCATTTAATCAAGTCTCGAAAAGTAAATTATGATACTGAGACGAGAGGGATGATCAACGTCTTCTAGTGAGACTACTGACTATAATGACTGCTACGATCTACAGACTTGTTTTTTATGGACTGAAGCGCATAGGTAATAGCCTCCATTGGATAGAGAGGGGTTTAGCGGTAATACCCATGACTCCTCAACGTCTTGCATAAATTCGTTTCCAAACTCATTAAAATCTCCGCCGTTATCATCCTCGGAAACGACTTGAAGGCTCAGTAGTATAAAAAAAGCATACTTGGTTACTTGCTTCAGCAAGATCGCGCATTTTTCACAAATGTTGTTTACAAGGGCTTCAGAACGTTCACAAACTCTCTGTTTTACTTCAAGAACGCAATAAAAGGATTATCATCAAACAACTCCAACAAAAATATGTGTGCTCGGGAAACAGGTTTTCTTTTTTTTTTTGGCACATTTTAAAGTTTCTTCTTTTACTGTCCTAGTCTCAGAGTTGAACTCATTTAGCAACGCGTAAAGTAGAGTTACGATGTATACTGTTTTCGGTACTGATAGGCCAAGTTGACAAATTGAACAATTTGATCCTCTTACACATATTCCTTGCAAGATGGTGTACTATTTCTTTCTATCGCCATACGGTTCGTGTTCCGGACTCAAAAGCAGTAATAAAGTATTACCATACTAGACCAAGTCGTCATCATGGGTCAAGGGAAATGATTCTGAAAAGCCAATCAAAATAGGAAAGTGAATAAAAAATATTTTCAAAATGCGGGGACGAATAATACGAATGTCCGATCACTTGTTGCATGTGATTCACACTGTCTCCTTTCAATATTCAAGCATGTGAAGTTTTCATTTTCTTTTTTTTCCCCCTTCTTTCATTTCTTTTTCTCTTTTTGCTTATAATGTTGGATCATTTAATAGGTAAACCATCGACAAGCTGGAAGAGAATTCAAGTGTTGTTGACACTAATTATCGGGTAAGTCTTATAAAATATGTATTGTTCATTGTACTCACATTTTATAGTTGGCACATCGTTTTGAATGGTAAAACAAGGCAATTGCCAAACATAATACAAAATATAAATAAGAAATCAGGTAACATAAGCTGATTTGTTTGTGTATACAATTTATTAATATATAAAAAAGTGGGTGGTTCACCTTGGAGAATCGTGTTTGGTGCTTGGTTATTTCAATACTTTGTTAAAAATATCTTTTTGCTTGTTGGTTTAAATGGTAAGTGCTCTACTATTTATATATCTTTACTCATAACCCTTTATACGTGTCATATAGCCCCTGATCCATTAGCAAGATCCGTAAGTTACATGCACTATGATTGCTTTATAATTTATCATCCACTGTTTTAGTATAGTCGTAGCTTTTATCGAGCCACTTGGATACTAACCGCTCTTGACGCTGGATTCTTTACTGCTATGCCTCTTAAACCTAAATGGGCACGTGATTTCTTTTCTATCCTCTTTTCAGTCTATTACCTCATCTTTGCCGATGCCGCTGAAGAAAAAGTCAGGAGGATTCGTTCGACTATCTCGATTGAACAGATGCGATGTTCTTGGGAAAAGGGTTACCAGAATATGTTTTTACGAACATTTTCTCGAATCATGTTTCAACCACGCATGAGCATCCGAGATACCATCATCATTGATAGACCCAATGATAAACCTCCTACCGAAATACACCGATACTATGCTAGATCACCAGAGACATTCTCTGATAACGATACCATTATCTTGAACATTCCCGGTGGCGGCTTTGTAGCTATGCCACCTCCTTGTCATGAGGACCCCATCACTCATTGGGCTAAACATACAGGTCTTCCTGTGATCAGTATCAACTATAAAAAGGCCCCAGAATACTCTTTCCCTTGGCCTATTGAAGAATGCTTTGATATCTACACTAGCATCGTGCAGACAAAGGGTAAAGTAATTGGTCTTTCCGGTAAAAAGAATATCAACATTATCATCATTGGTGACTCAGCGTAAGACAGAGAGAAAGAAAGAAAAGAAAGAAAAAAAAAAAATACTAACTTTGATAAAGAGGAGGTAACATCTCTTGTGGTGTGGTCACAAAGGTTATTGAACAGCAACAACTTCCAAAGCCTACAGGATTAATCTTGATCTACCCCGCACTTGACTTTGAGTTATCATGTTGGATGTCGCCCGAGCAACTATCACTTATCCGTGTCGAATCTCAAGCCAACATGTTCCGTTCAAGTTCTTTCAACAACATCTTACAAACAAAGGACCACTTGAGTCACGCGAGCCCGTTGAGCGTTGTGCCCGACGTGGAGAAATCAAGTGGATGGAAAAGCCTGTTTGGTATAAAGAAACGGGAACCCATAAAAGATAAAGTCAAGACAACCTATGAAGCATGGGTCTCATCTCGTGTGGCTATGACAAGTCGAATGACATTCTTCAACGATAGATTACTTTCACCTGATATTGTTCGAGCCATGGCTATCTGTAAGGCGCTTCTCTCTCTTTATATGAAACGTACATTAACGCCCTTTTATTAGTATATCTAGGGCCTCATGCTCCTCCAGATTTCAGTACAGATTATCTACTATCACCCGTCAACACATCTGATGACATACTCGCTCATTTCCCACCCACTTATATGATGTGTGGTGAAAAAGACCCTCTGGTGGATGATACGGTCATCTTTGCTGGTCGTATTCGACAAGCTAGATTAAAGTATCGTCAGGAACATCCTTTGGATGAAGCATTCCCTCAAGGTGATGGCGTACGTGTCAAGTTTTTAGAAGGCATGAGCCATGGATTCTTGCAGATGACTGCTTTCCTACCAGAAGCTACACAAGCCATCAAGACTTTAGGGGATTGGATGATAGAGATTCAAAATAATGTACAGAGAAAACCATACAAAAAATTAGGAGATGATCATCTGGCAGAGATTAGCACTAGTGAAAAAGACTTGCTTCACCGTAGAAAACAATTATTAGTCAACGGACTCTATTAGATCTCTCTTTATTATTCGTATTTTATCGCTTTTTTAAATACAAGACTCATATCGTCTTCTTGTCTTTCTCGTTTGATAAAACTGTCTTGACTCATTCGATTGGATAACCATCGAATAAAGGCTGGGAGGTTGTAGGTGGATTGAAGCTCTTTCGACATGAGGTCTTGTTTAAACACATTTGTATTCCATTTATGAATTGGTGAAGACTGTAAACGGACGATGGGTTTCGTAGGATCGTTTGCTGGAATGTCGATCGATAATGGTACCATAACGAACGATGATGCCAGTGGTGGTGATATTGTGATGTGTATCGAATAAGGCGCGTCTACAGTAGCCACTTCAACTATGAGATTATCTTCCTTTTCGCTCTCTATACATGACAGATGAGTATATGCATACACCTCTAGACTTGAACTTCTTACCAGCCAAGATACCCTTTAAAGAAAAGGAAACAGTGTTGTCCATAGAATTCTTGATGACTTGAGTAGTGCTGAATATCGATTTAAACAGTATATTAAACATTTCTTGCTGTCTAAGGCACTGTAGATATTGTTATTCATCAAATAGGATAACACGTCTGTATGTCATTGGTTTACCTGGATGATACTGTAAAGTTGCACTGGGTGCTGAAATGGAATTCTAGTTACAATTTTTGCAGAGACTTTTGAAGAAGACATCCATTTATAGATTTGATTATCGTGAATATATTGTTTGGTTGGGGCAATATCAAGTACAAGCATTTCTTCTAGTGACAATGTTTCGTTTGTCGCTGATGTTGACGTGGTTGATGCAACAACATGGTCTGAGATGACTGAATCTGTATTGATCATCCCTGAAAGATTCATTATTTTCTGGCATAGCCCGTCAGATACTGGTATAGGAGGATCAAGTGTGGCAATAAATCTAATCTGTACTGAAGGTGCCGAGGAAAGCGGCTTAACAAATCTCAGGGGAGACATAAACTTTGGATAATTGTTTTCGTAAACGACTCTGTATTGTTCACTGTCAATGTCTTCCTCAGTTTCATCGAATTCTAGTAAATAATTGGGTCTTGTCGTAGGTAGATAGTGCATCTCTTGAATACAGTCTTCAAACGATATTAGCAATTTGGATGATTGATTCAGTATAGGATGATACTCGTCCCTTAGTATGTATTGTTCTTTTACTTGCTCCCAGTCTATGTCATTGTGGGATTTGTCTATCCAGTAGCAGATAGAGATACCAGGATAGTTCAGATGTAAGCATGGTATACCATGTCCTTCGAGCAATATCGTCGACAAGTCAGGCTCTACTTGTCTATCCATCAAGTTAGTCACTTCTACTTTTGATAAACACATAACCTACAGTTCATTAGAGCATATTGTCTTCAAGTCTTTTAATAGGTTATTTATAATAGAAAAGAAATCCATAGGTTTATGCTTCACATTCAGTTGATCTAGTAATGCTAAACTCTGCAGGTTTCTTTTAAACAGTTCAAAATTGCATGATTGAAGGTTCTCTTTTAGTATCCTATCTACTCTATCACCTTCTTCGGCATGCATTGACTCTGATACAAAGGTAACCTTTGTGTTATGTATCCGACCCATATCGTCAATATCAATCTAATGAGCCCATCGTCTTCAATGTTAGTCTATTACTCTTATTATACACAACATTCATCTTACATCAATCACAATTAATGTTCCTCCTAGTGTTATCGTGGTTATAGGGTTTTCCGTTTCAAACATCTTGGATGAATCAACAAACGTAATCAGCCTATAACATATCAATTTCTCTTTCTTTATTATAAAATCTGATATACTCACCCCATGGATTGTGCTATCTTTTCGAGTCGCTGTATCTCTATCTTTGACTTGCTTTCGTCCTTCTCTTTGAGTGATTCTTCCAGACGTTCCTTGGACTTTATTAATATATTCTTCAATCGAATTACTGCACTTTCGAGGGTTGCTTGTTCCTAAAGAATCTGGTTGAGTCTATCGCGTGTCTTTTAGTACTGATTTACTTTTAAATGAGTAAAGTGCTTGCGAAACGCGGGATCAGCTCCAGCGCCCATTTTCATGACATCTCCCAAGACTTCAGTTTCGAATTGTGAGCATATGTTACGTATCGAATTGATATGCTGAGAGAATTCCTGTCTTGCTTTATCTAGATTCACTGGTCCTAGTGCATGAAGCTCTATATATTTCTAAGAGATCATTGTGCTCTTTTCTGAAATCTTTTTTTTTTACCATTAGGCTGTTTTGTGTTATTTGTAGCGTCTTTTTGAAGGCATGGCCATTGTTGTTGAAGGTTGCGTAATGTGTCTTGAAGTCCAATTATTGCAGAATTGATTGAATTCTTGGGTAAATCAGGTTGCTTTGACATGTA